ACCAAATCCATTTCTCCCTCCCTCCCTCCTCACCTTCAGCGCTGTGATCTCAACCTCCACCGGCGGCGCCTCTCCTTCCACCTCCTCCGCCGCGAAATCCAGTACGCGAATGCCTTCCCCACAAGAGGCTGTCGCTGCGCCTGTGCATGAGGGTATGGGGTTGCCGGATATTTTCCCTTCTTCTATCGATGCGCTGTTCCCATTTGCCGAGTGTAATTGACTGGGTGAAGAGGAGAAGAGGGAGGAGGAGGAGGGGGAGGAGGAGGAAGAGGAGGCCGGTGGCGCCAGTCGATAGAGTGCAAGGGAGCGCTTTGCCGTGACGATGCACAAGAGCAGGCCATCCGGGCTCACCGCGATGGGTAGCTGGAAACGTTCCCCCGAAAAATAGAGATTCGGAAATAAATTAATCCTCTTTTGAAGATTAACATGACTGCGAGAGACGCACGGAAAACAATCGACAAACGCGTACAAATCACCCCAAGCAGCCATTAAGCCGCGTTCCACTCAATGTCACTCTTACGGTCAAGGCTTGATCCTTCTTTTCAAATTCCTTAGTTGCCGGCACCCCTCTCCTTCCCTCCCACCTCCTCAATCCTTCCCGGTCGTCGGGAAAGCATCCCTTTTACTCTCATCCCTAGCCTCCCCTCGTCACCCCATGCAGGAGTTTTCAATACTTTCTTACCTTGTCCTCAGCCCACGCCGGAGTTTCTTCCTCTTCACCAGCTCCTCTCTCCCCTGGATGCCGAGCACGGAGCACGGACCGGAGGGCCATGCGCCTGAAAACGACTTTTCTCCCTTTTTGCCAGTCTTCTTCACCAGCCCCGTCCACCCACTTTCCTCCTGCAATCTCTCTGCGTGGGCATGTGTGATGAGGATATGCGTGTGACTCGTAAATAATTGAGTTCGAGTGCGGGAAATTGGTTTTAGGGAACATGATGTCGCAGAGCGGGCTATTCTACCGCAATGGAAAATCACTGCACCCCCAACGTAGCACGCGTTAGTAAGATCGGATACAAGTATAGCTTACACCTACAACCCGTGATCGTGGAGTCCTGTGTTTAGAGCCGTCGATGATTGTGGCCACGGTAGCAGCGACCGGCACTGAAGGGGGAAAGACCGCTTAGGCGATCGTATCAGGGAGGAGGTTAAAAGGGAAGGAAAATGCGCTTCTACTTTTCTTGATATGGGGCCTCCTTGAACGAGTTGAGGAAAAAAAAAACATTAGATCTAGCTTTTTTGAACATTAAGCCAGTTTGTCAAGGTGGAGGTGGCAATTTACATGCACCAAAAAAGGGCAGGAGTACTTTTCAGGCACGTCGGAATGGGCCAATAAGAATGGGAGCGCCAAAGTGTATGGCAGCGGAAGTAAGAGATGTCAGGCCGCAAATGAAATGTTTATGGGTGATGCTTCGTCCCTTTTCCAGTATTAGGACGGAGCTGACCACACTTGAGGGAGAACGAAGTCAAGCCCAAGGCTACGTCTAGAAACATCAAGGAATATCTTTCCGCATAAGTACTTTTCAGAGATAATTTTAAACCCTTCACTTTAATCTTCCTTCTTTTAACAATATGAAATTAGTGTGACATAGCACGTCTTCGTGACACGAGCGTAGCGCGACAAAAGATGTTTTCAAGTGTACCGAAACGAGCCATTTCTTGATGGGCTGCGGTCCGCCCGTAGTGTATATGCTCTCGTAACGACACTCAGATATGCACCCATCGTCTGTACAGCCATCTTAGGTGCCTGCTTCCTCAATATACGTGCGAAAGTTTCTCCTCTATATTTGAGCGATACAGTGTCACTTCAGGTTGATGCTTGCCAGGTTTTGTGTCCTTCCGTCCGAGTAAAACTAAACCATTTTTGTCTCAAGAACCATCATCTTGTTTAATTGTTCTGTCCTACGGTACACTCTATCACACCTGCTTTGGTATCGCTTGAGCCTCACCTCCGTCGTTGCTCTTCCTCAAGCTTAACCCGCTTTTCACTCTCAGCCTCTATCCGCTCACCCGGGGCACCCTGGAGAACCAAGCTTTTATCATAATACGCGAGCTCAATAATGCATCAAAAGACGCTTGGTGCATAGGAAACATTCATTTCCTAGTGTGGGCTTTGGATCGTACAATCTCACGGTATGATGGATGTTCATCGAAATGAACTGATTGTGCCATCTCCTGCAAAGGTGTATTAAGGACTATTTTTCGTAAACTAGCATCAAACGTCTCTCAATCTTACCAAAAATGCTTATTTGAAGTTTCCTGTGCCGATTTCACGGATAGCTCGGATCTCCATGATATTTTCAGGGTAAAAGATGGACTGATATTCGAGGACTTGCCCCGCCTTCTCTTGGGGCCCTATTGATACTACTTACCGGTAGATAAATCATTTTAAACTGAGACATGCTCAACCGAAGCGCATCATTGTTTTTCTCACACCTCGAATAGCACGCCGCCATCAGTACGCGAAGTACAATGCTAGCAAAGAAAGTTGGATGTGCCCTCCTGAAAATACCCCCCAACCACGAGGCTGTCGAAACCACCAAGTTTCTGGGCCCATTTTCACGGCACTTTCCAAGCATGCTTTGAGACAGCGAGATACAAAATTATGTATGTTTTTTTCTTTCATCTCGACAAGAGTAAGCACCAGCGGGTACTTTAACCCAAGTCATGGCTTGAACTACTAAAATGGCAAAAAAGGCGCTAAAAAACCTCCTCCGCTCTCTCGATTGACGCCATTGTTCACAAGCAGGCAAGATACTTTCCCAGTCCCCCTTGGTATTTACGAGGCATTATGCCTCACGTGCGCTATATTGTTACAAAAGAAGTAGTAATGTCATGCATGAACGTTGATGTTCATTTGTTTTGTCTTTAAAAATTCTGCATATCCTCGTACATCGTAAAATAAAATGGCACTGCATGCTCTCGATCACATCAGACCTCAATGCGCTCGTGGCTACTTAACCTTTAATAAAAAAGCATAAGTGCTTGATTGAACGCCGCCACGATGTCCACATGTCAGACTATGGTACAAAGTACCGATATGTAAGAGTTTGAGGAGCAACCGGGGAATCTTGAAAAGCGGCGTAATAAGCAGACCGGTGCACTGCATCAGTCGGATTTCCTCCCGCATCCCTCCACCACGTCCAGGACTGAAAGCTCGTCGCATTCGCTCTTCTATCTCGCATACATGTATATTAATATACAGACAAATGTCAACATGCGATTTAATAAGTGCGTTGGACTCCGCTTGCCCTCTTGTAGACGACTCAAATAAAATCCTACCCTCCCTTTTCTTTCACCCCACGATTTACCTGTAGGACTGTGTCAGGACTGCTTCATCGATACTCGCGGCTCACATTATGACACCAAGACAGGTACCTCTGCTGACGCCCGACTCGTGCGGGTGACTAGAGGCGATTGAAAGAGGGGCTTTAAGGTGCGTAGTAGTACTGCCTCTACACTGTCACCATAGTTCATGCTTGAGGGGTGAGTAGCTTACTTCAAATTTAGGTAGTTTCTTTCATATGTATATTTTGCCAACAAAGCTTTGTAATGTATTTTAGAAGTTGAATACTTCAAAATGTTGCGGAATGCTCGAAATAAGGCCTTTCAGGGCTGTGTCTGACGCCACGAGCTCTCGCATGGCTTGGGAAAAGCCTTTTTGAGCCCAAAAATGATGTTTTTGCGTGCAAAGGAGCGTAGACATCAGAATCTTGAGAGTGTTAGATACCAAATGGGGACAGAGCCCAGTACAGGGACTTGCCTGTGCCAGCTGAAAGGAGAGCGCTATACTAGACTAGCTGTTTTCAAGCCAAAAGGGATCTCTGGGCAAGCTTTCAGATTGCAAAACCCTCCACAAAGCGACGTGGAATGCCCGCAAGCTCCCCTCGGGCAGAGAATCCTGCCGCCGTCGGATATCGGCTTTAGCACGCGACCGTTGGAAGGAGAGGAAAGGCGCCCAATGCCGGTGAGCGAGAGAACAGAACAAATGCAAAATATAGGGTGTCAAGCGCAGAAGGGTTGCGAGTTCTTTTTTTGTGGTCTTTTGTTGTTTTGAAAGACGCTCACAGCATTTGCCAATTCGTAAACCTGGCAAGGGAGTGCGTGAAGGCCTTTTTTATTTTTTTGTCCCCCGTGGCCGACACTTAAAAGGGGGATGCCAGGACTCTCGCGAGAAAGATTCCGGTGGGAACTCGTTCTGTTCTCTTTGTTCTATGAATCGTGTCGACACGAGACAGGAAAATGCAAGGCACAGTCTCCTACCCAATGCCACATGTGTGTATGACCAAAGGAATGAGGGAGGGGGAGGAGAGGCGCAGCAGACCAGAAAGTGTAAAGCAGATCGATAGTCGAAGAAATCTGCCACCGCTCCTTTTCGATTGTCAACTGTTTGGATGGAATGCACTCAATCCTATGCCTTGGACACCGTATGTCTGTGGTTCGGGTGTGTCAGTCGTCGTTCACGTGCCCCTTTTTCCTCGCTGTCGAACCCCGCTTTGTGTGATGAGGCAGGTTTCCGTCTCCACCCCCTGACACAGCACAAAAGCTCTACAGAATATAAATGTCAACGACCATGAAGAATGCGCTCAATGGACTCGTACATGCACCGCGCCGCGTGAGGCGGTGGTGCAACACAAGGTACGTGATGACATGGTGGTGGGAAAGCAAAAGTACGTTCCATACGAGAGTAGAAGGGAGCGAGCTGCAGGGAGAAACGCAGGCGGGGACTTACGAAATAAGACATTTTCTCTTTTACCTGCGCGATCACCTATCTTGCCTGCGTGTATCCTTCATATGGGAATATAGGTCGAGAGATAGTAGGTCTAATTCACTTCTCAAACACCCGCATACCAAGGAAATGGACCTTGGGGTGTTGCTTCTCCGCTTGCTTCAACACCGAGGAGGACGAGGAGGAAGAAATTTTAATATATCAGCAGCCGCAACAACAGCAGCAACAAGCACCAACATCATTGTGTATAGCAGAAGATCGGCAAAGATATGTGGACGAGGAGAAGCAGGTTCGAATCACAAGTTCTCAGAAAATCGAGCAACAGGAAGCGGCTAACACTCAGCAGCAGGAGGGTAGCCGTCACCTTGTCCAAGGAGAGCAGAGCATGGAAGATGAACCCCGTTGCGAGAACTCGAGCATGATGGAGGAGAATGTGAATGAAGACGAGCACCTGCTAGAGGAGACGTGGAGTGCCAGGGAGGAGCCGATTGGAGTTGTTGACTCAGTTCTTGTGTCCCCTGATGTGCTCATTCCGAGCACCACAAAAGCCGACGAGCTGCTGGAGACTTCGAGTGCCGGGAAGGAGCAGATAAAGCACACCGACAATGGCAGCAAGAAGAGCAAGAGGAAGAAGCGCAAAAATAGAAAGAAGAAGAAGAGTAGGAGTAAGGCAAGGACGACGGGACAGGGAGCTGCTGTGACGGGGGCGGGTGAGCTTCAGCCCGTGGAATGTCTTGATGCCTTCGACAATCCTCATTCTGCGGATACTGATGCGCTGGATAATGAGGATGATCCCGCCCATGGCGGTCTGGGACCGCGGCCTCCTGGTCCTGATAGCTACCAAAGCACTTGGAGCAACAACAGCAAGACCACAAGCAGCAGCTGCAGCAGCAACCACGACAACGACAGCCAACTCAGCAGGAGCGACAGCAACATCAACACCACTAGCAACAACAACAACAACACCAGGAGCGACAGCAATGGGAGCAGGAGCAGCAATGTCAGTA